GTCGGAGCGGGGCCTGCGGCGATGGAGGCGCTGCCCGAGCTCTACGCCATCTTCCAGGGAGAGGTGCGCGGCGCTGCCGGCCGCGGCCCTGACCCCGGGAGGCGCGAGGGCCTGCGGCGTGCTTCCGTGCCTCTTGATTGCGCGTAAAGCACCGCTTAGTTCCGCGGCAGTTTGGGAAACTGCCAGCTCTGTGACACGTATATACACACCTGTCTATACGTATCCGTGTGTTTATGTGCATACATACAGGAGTATGTGCACGTACATGTGAGACGCTTACCTGAATGACGTGGGAGTGGTTGGCTGACCACACCTGCTGCAGAGCGACCGGGCGCTGCCGTGTCTAACCTGCCTGGAAATCTAAAACTGAAAGAAAGCAGGAGAGCCGTGTAGGCTTTTTGTGCACGTTCTAACCTGTGGTTTGAAAGCGGGTGTTCTGTGAAGGGTTTTCCTTTAGGTGTTGTGTTGATTTTCTTCACAGGTTGCTACGGTGACAGAATATGGGGCATTTATAAAAATTCCAGGCTGCAGGAAACAAGGTTTGTTTCTCTTATTTTGTTCAGACGTAGCTTTGTGTTGGCGTGTTTGAGCCAAGCAGTCGTCCTCAGAATTAAAGGCTTGCTAGCTTTTAAGAAAAGCTCAGAAAAGTGTTTGGTTGGGGTTTTTTTTCTAAATTAAGAAGAAAGTGAGGGTCGCGGAAAGTATTTCGAATATGATGGTATGTTTGCATGAATAGCAAAAAGACTCGGAGGGCTTTTTGGTAACTTCAGGATATTTTAGAGAATCATTTTAAGGTACTGGACAAACTATAGAAACTTTCTACAATTAGATAGTTTGCCCAACTTCTTTTATGGCCAATACAAATGAGTTAAATAAAAAAGACTGAAGTGAAGCTCAAGTAAAAAACAAACTGGAAAAGCTGACTTAAAGCTCCGTCTACGTTTGTGGGAAACCTGCAGAGTCAAAGAAACGCCTTTTACAAAAGCAGCAGCTTACGGCGGATGTTCTGTCGGATGCTGGTAGGCCCACAAATAACCCCTTCTCCGCTCCCCGCTTGAAGTGCCCAGGCACTCCGGTGCCAGTTCCGATAAAAGGTTTTGGACAGAAGAGTGGCTGCTGGAAGAAGCCGCTTTGAGACCCAAGCGGGCCCTGAAATACGAGCTTGAACAGCAAGGTGTGTTTCCGTATTTATCCTCCCTTGCATAACCCTGCAGCCCACATGTCATTCGTGCAAATTAAAAGTACCGTTTCGGGGCTGTGTGACCTTGCAAGCGCAGGAGATCAGGGCAGCCTTGGTGTTTCATGCTTTTGACTTTGCCAGCGAAGTATTGTGTTGCTGATGCATGAAACGGGCTCTTGATTCTCCGGTGCTTGGGGTGGCCCGGAGGACAGGCAGGAAGGGAGAGGTGTTAGCGCCTGCTGCAGTTTTCCATACGGGCGCCTGGTATTTTGAGTGCAGAGACATTGCTTTGGGGGCCTGCTTCTCTGAGTTAATTTGGAGCGGATCTTGATGAGCTTTTATATGTTTGGTGATGCAACTAGTTGATTCTCACCTGCATAATGTACTGGGGGAAAGAAATGGGTAGTTCTGCTTAGGGCAACCGCTGAGTATGTTCCCTCTCTCCCAGAGCGGTGGTCTCCAAACGTTTTTGGTTGTGCACCCCCAGTGCACGATCAGTTAAAATCGGTTAACCCTATCCGTTAAAAAAATGTTGAGCACCCCCCCAATATACGTATATTTATTTATAAATTATATACATGTACTAATGTGCATTATAAAACATACTCAAGAATAGAAATCAAAAAGGGGTGAGCTAAAGGTGAAGTATTTATTCTTCTATTTTTTAGCACTAATCTTTTTTTATTATTATATTATCTATTAATGGTACAAAAATATTTTCTTCTCGCACCCACCCCACTTTGGAGACTGCTGTCCTAGAGGGCAAAATTGAGATTCAGTGGAGACTTGTCTTTATTTTTTCCCTTTCTTCTCTTCCAAAACCACGACCAGGCCTTGTCCATAAGACTCACATGTCCTCCTGCCGCGTGGATAAACCCTCAGAGATAGTCGACGTTGGAGACAAAGTATGGGTAAAGCTTATCAGAAAAGAGGTAACGTTAATTCTTGTTTCTTTAGCGCTGTGTAGATAAAATATGCTGCAAAAACACCGAGGACTTCTGCGCACGGAGGCTGTGTGCTCCTGTCGCTTTGTCGGGCTCTGTTTTACCGGCAGGTGAATTCTCTTCACCTCCAGACGTGACTTTGGGCACGTCGCTTCTGTGACTTGCAACAGCGCAGTTCAGAAAAAGGGACTTCTTAAAAGCTTTTGGCTTAAAAGCAACAAAATACTTCCCTTTCTTCCCCTGCGCACCCCTTCACAGCTTGTGTCACCTTAACTGTGTGATGTGGTGGCGAAATGAGCAATTTGAGAGGATCCCAAGATAAGAGCCGATACAAAGACAGTTCATTAACTGTTTTGAGACAGGCGCGTTCTGAGAAGAAGCCGAGATTTTTGTTTGTTTGTTTTCAAGAAAATATTGGTGGCAGCGAATTATGCTCAAGAGAAAATACAGGGGCTTTTTGTTTGTTTGTTTTGAAGTAAGAGCATGATACATTTCCCCCCCTGCCCCTTTACCATCTATGTGGCTTTTTGTTCTGCAGAAGATGTGACAATAGGTATATCGTCTGTATTTAAGGATCACTTGGAACAAAATCTAAAGTCTCTTGCTTGGTGAGCCATGGAAACAAAGTGAGCTGACTGTATTTTGGTGGGATCAAGGCGGAAGCATTCAGTTCAGAGTTGCACAGGATTTGGCCATAAATGCTTTACATCCATAAATGCTTTACATTTTTTTTTTTTTGAAAGAAGATAGTCGGGTTGATGTACAAAACAAGGACTTAATTTTGCGTGAGATAAGGGAAATGGGTTGAGAAACTTGGTCTTATTTACACAGTATAGAAAAGCTTTACAGCTTCTTTTCAGCCGTCTGTGGTGTGCTTTTTTAAACGTTGTTTGTTGGTATAAATGTTTATTAAGCCACTGTTTTCTTTACCTGGAACACAGCTGTTGGGTTCCTGGCTGCTTTGCTTGTAGAGGCAAGGGGCAGAAGCGTGTTGGAGAGGTGGACAGCGGAAGAGTTCATTGTTAGATTGCCTGCAAATGACTGCATAGATGTCATAAACAAAACAAACCAGAAATACCTTCAATAGCAGCATTGGTGAAAATGCAGGAAGTTGTAAGAAAGGCTTGAAAAAACCCCAAACGTACAACTTTTGCTCTTGCTTCTAAAGTGATAATGTGGCAATCAAGGACTAATAGGATTCAGAAGAGAGCCCCTAACAGAGATACTTCAAATGTTTGTAGTCTCCTGAGAGGATCAAAATGGGAGAAAGGATAAAAAGTTTTATTTTTCAGGATGCAAGTCAGCCCAAGTACTGGGCCAGGGGAACTGCCTTGGGGGTGGATGGTTTGAGAATTATAGCAAAGCTTCCAAACATGCACTTTCTTCTGCAGCTCCTGGGTTTGGTCGTATTGAAAGCAGAATGTTAATCTGAACGGACCTATAGTTTGATCTTGTCTTATTACTGCGATAGCTGCTTAACAGAAGCTGTTTTATTAGCTAAAATGCTCTAAATGCAGCTACAAAGTAATAGAACAAAAGCACTTTCATGTAGCATCCTTTGTGGTGCTGCTCTTTGCTAACCAGCGGTTTCCTGCCTTCTCTGTAGGCCTCCAGACGCAGTGTGTTAATTAACATCGTTGTCATTTACTCTTTACTCTTCTCATTCCATATCTTCCTCTTTCAGATGAAAGATGACAAACTGAAACTCTCCCTCTCCATGAAGGTTGTTAACCAAGGCACGGGAAAAGACCTCGATCCAAACAATGTTTCCCTTGAGTAGGTAAATCTACTGAGTAGAATGTAACAGACCAGACAGGTTGCTACTGCCTGCTTTTCCCTGCCTTTCATTCCTGGCTTTCCTGCCATACTTATTCTCTAGCTCCCCCCTCCTTTGGAGGGTGAGGGGGGCTCAGGAAGAGCCCCCCAGCGATGCGCTGGCTGGCTGGAGGGTTGGCTGAAGGCACTCCCTTGGTTATGCTGCCCAGAGGCAGGCGGGAGCTGGAGACTTTCGTTCCTGCTTTGTGATGGCCGTGCGCTTGTACTGGAGGGACTGTTCATTCCAGCTGGGGATTCGTCTCACTTTCACATACTACAAAATCAAATCTTAACCGCTCGGATGTTTCGGAGCTTCTTTGTCTACCTTTTTTTTTTTTTGATGTCTCTTGTCAGTCAAATAAAATTGCTTTATTTTCATACTGGGCAAGTATATATATGTGTGTGTGTGTTCACACACAAAATACAGATGTTAGTATAAAGGATGTAACTGCAGCTCCCCGCGTCTGTCTGCTTTGTGTAGAGAGCGCTCAGTTCATCTCAAAAGTAGAAGATGACAGGTAATATGCTGTTGACAACGTGGTTTATTCTAATGAGCTCTGTTCTTTGGTTTAGCTCAGTGGTACTTTTAGAGCAATATTTGAAAAAACTTGTGTTTAGGTTGTGTCCATATAAATATGCAGGGTTAAAGATGAGAGTGGATTGAAAATGGAACTGTCCTCTTTCCAGTCAGGATGAGAGGAAAAAACGCATGTTCAGAGACTACACGAGTCAGAAGATCACGCTTGAAGCTGTCTTGAACACTGTGTGCAAGAAATGCGGTTGCAAAGGTATGTTCATGCAGCGTCATCTTGTTCTTTTGATGTAGCCTTGTTCTAAGCAGGTAGCGACCTGTAGATAGGACTGTGTTGACGTCTGTCTCATGGTTGTGTATAAGGACTGAGTTTTGCTTCCGCGTGTCTCTTTTAGAGGAGAACTAAATTTTCTATCACTTGTTACGAAAAGGAAAGACTTAGCTGAAGTCCTTTTATAAAGGTTTGTTTCTTAAAATCACATCCCTTTGAGCTTCCTGTAAAGAACCCTCCTACTGAGTACAGGTTCGGTACGGTTCCCTTCTTGCAGTGTTTGTGTTAGTGTGTCTTATAGCTGAGGTCTCGTTCCAGTTTTGCATTTTAAAAAATAAACATATGCCTTCACCAGATCATTTCATTATGAAGAACGGTCAGTGGAAATTACTGATCAGTTGTTGGGAACACAGTGTTAGCTTGTGAGCAGTGTCTTAGAGCTGAAAACAAGCATTTGTTGGTTTTTTTTTTTTTTTTAACCTGGTGAATTTTTTGTTTTGCCTAGTTCAGCCATAGGAAGTTGGCTTACGTGATGCCTTTTCAGTGGCTTTTTGCAAGTTGCTGAGGCATAAAGTAGTTTTTTGTACATGGAGCTTTTGCTGCACCTTAATTGTCTTCTGTTATTTAGCCATAGAGTGAATAGTTAAGCAGGGGTTAATGCTCTTCTGGAGAAGGTTAATAACGAATATGGTTCTCTGTAGTGGTAGATAACTATCTTTAAAATACCATTTTAAAGAATCCCCAAAACTTTAAACTGGATTCTGCGTATTTCCAGTCTGCTTTTTAATGATGATGTCTACTCATAACAGGCAGGCAGATGCTATCTGTCTGCAGCTTCCACTACAGCTGTTAGTCGGTCAACTTCTACTCTGTCTCCAGAGTAGAAGGGGTAGAACCAGAATGAGCTGATTTCCTCTGTGGTGGCTTTGGTCTCATTTACCAGGTGCCTAACACACCAATTTACTCCACTCTTCCATGCTGCTGAAGCCCTCGCGCAGACATGTTTCCACCGATTTCCCTGCTCAGACATGTCTTAGTTGTTGCCTGACTAATCTTTCCAGACTGACCTGGGTTGCCTTTGCTCCCCTGGCTTGTTTAATCAGGGCACGTTAAACTAGCTGAAATGCTAGGACAAAAAATGTACAGTGTAGATTCTCTTATTGTGACTAATAATAAAAAGATCGTTGGTGGCATTTCAGGTGTCTGAAATGCAGTTTAAAAAAGAGAAAAAAGGGGGTGGGTGGGTTGTTCCTTCAGACGCTATTTTGCAGGTCATTTTGCCAAGGAGTGTTTCGTGCAGCCTGGAGGTACCAAATATAGCCTCATTCCAGAAGAGGAGGAAGAGGAGGTGGCAGCAGCAGGATATGAAAGAGAGAAAAAGACCAGCGTGGCTGACGATTCTTCAAAAAAAAGGAAAAAGGTACGAGGTGCCCTACTTCTGGCTTGGAAAAGTGAGCCAGGTAATTTGTTCTGTGTAGTTACATCTGTGACTTACTACAGCAGCGTGGTTATGAGTAGCCAGTTCTGGGCTGAGAAAGTGGCTCAGTTTTGTGCAGGTTCTGTAGCAAAACGGGAATCTCCCCTGCAGACACTTTCAGTAATTCTTATACTTTCTCCCTTTCTTCTTGTTAAACTGTCTTTAAGATGGTTTTGTGCTTTAACACACAGTCCTCAAAAGATATTTCTTACAGTGAGAAAAGGATTATTATTTTTTTTCCTGGTCTTTGTGAGGCTTTATAGAAATTGCTTCAGTTTCCTGAATTTCTGTGATTCTTGCCCACAGCCCCGTTTCCCCTCCCTTCTC